CCTTTGATCATCGGAGTTACCCTTCTTCTTCCTTCGAGCAATCCAGTACATGTTTCCATTTATAGACAAAGCTTGATAATGTGGAAACCAAAGATCTACACACGAATCGAGAGCAGCATCAACACTTCTCCAGAGTTTAGACTTGAACTCATATATCTCAATATGTGATTTGTCCAATAACCTCAAGATCTTGTACTTGTCACGAGATACTTTGTCGTATCCAAAACCGTAGACATCACTCCATTTGTAAGAATGGGAGGGTTCGATCCATTCGATTTGGCTCAAAAACGGATTCCAAACTGCGAGCTTTTCATGTTTATAACCAGTCGTCCCACTAACTTCTACACTGACATAGCAATAACCCGTCGCAGTGGATCACGGTCTGAATTTTAGTTGGACCTTGTAGAGATGAGATAGCTTGGGTCTCATAATCGAAAAGTTGAACCGAGTTATCACGACGATTGACTAGTATGAATCGTTTCTGAGAGAGATAAAAGTGTTTGTAGATGAATCTCTTGTCGTTAATAAGAGCGTACCATTGTTTGCATATTGATTTGAATCGTACCAAAGATTCGATTGGAGTCTTGTAAAGTATCTACGAACTCAAAAGGCAGCGACGACGAACGTTTTGACGACATTGACGAAGCCATTGAAAATTTTAGAAAACTAGGTCACCAAGAGAACCAACAAAAGATCCCCGTTGAGTTTTATATATTATATATTAATGCGGACTAGGTTTTTATATATATAAAAAGTATATATATTATGATAAATCAGACATTTCGCAATTCAAATCTTATATATATATATATATATATATATATACTAATAAAAGTTGAAGCTAAATGCTTATATGGGTGTCCACATAAGATTCAAGATTGCAATTTTATTGGTCCACATCATCATTCAAAAATTAAAGAAAGTTTACAAATTCTAATATTATTGCTGAATAAAGAAATTAAGAAAATTTACAAATTCAAATATAATTGCTGGATAAAAAAATTCTGTATAATTTTTTATTGGTCCAACTCAACATTGAAAATTAAAAGGTTTCCAAATTCTATTATTGTTTTTAAAAATGATTAAAGATAATATACAAACTTTATATTAAAAATAAAAAGCTAAAATAAATCATATTAAAAAGGAAATTTTAAATTTAAATTATATGTATACACACATATTTAAAAACTTTTACGTTAGCATCCAAATTTTTGTCACATAACTATAATAAATTTTAAGTTTTTTTTTCTGTGTGTGCAACCATTTCAAATAAAAACAAAAAATAGAGGTAAGTTTCATTGCAATGTCAAAGAACCAACTTGATTAAACTATGTGTTTAACTATAATGAAAGGAGATATAAACAAAGTCATTACAAGCTGTTTTAATATTGAAAAAGAAACCGTAAAATCTCCAAAGCTTGGCCACCGAATTTGAGAAAATGATAAATTTCAAGCAATTTGAGAAACATGTTAAGTAACTGATACTTGACACTTTTGAAAAACGAAACACTGAAAATAGAGAAAAAGGTTACATCATTAAGACGAAAGAGACTCAGGTATCCGAGGAAGATTTTTAAAATAATATGCCATCAGATCGGGTTTTAACAACCTAACCTTAACCGAAAAGGTAACAATTAGCTGACCAAGCAACATCCGAACAGTAAACCTCAAAACAAGGAGAAGAGACCAAAATTATGACACTTTTGAAAAACAAATCACTGAAAATAAAGAAAGAGGTTACGTCATTAATTAAGACAAAGACTGAGGTATCCAATGAAGATTTTTGAAATAAAATGACATTTGATGGGATTTTAACAACCTAACATTAACCACAAATGTAACAATTAGCTGACCAAGCAGCATTCGAATACATTCGGTAAGCCTCAAAACAAGGAATGATCAAAATCATTTGCCTCGTGTGGGATCTTCTAGCTTTGATTTCTAAATCAATTATTAATAAAGTTAAAGCTATATGCCTCTAAAAATGTCCAGATATGATTTAAAAGTTCAATTTTATTGGTCTACATCAATATTTAAAATTAAAAAAATTTCCAAAATTTAAAATTATATTATTAACAAAAACATATATTTATAGAAAAATAAATATTAAAGCTATATGCTTCTAAGGACATCCACATAAAATTTAAAAGGTCAATTTTATTAGTATACATCAATAACTAAAATTAAAAAAAGTTTATAAATTATAAAATCACATTGATAAGACAAAACAATATAAGAAAAATTGTTAATTAAAATTATTTTATTGTTTATAACAGTTAAAGCTATGTTATTTTCAAGGCATCCAAATCAGCATTTAAAAATTAAATTTTATTCGTATATATCAAAATTGTCAATTTAATAAAGTTTCAAATTATATTATTATGACTAAGAAAAGAAATTAAAGAATAAAAAAATCTCTATAAACAAAAGAAAACAACATGATATTAAAATTTCCAGTATCACTGTTTAAGTTACAAATTTAATTTATTATTTATAAAAATATATGCTACTTATACAAGTTTAGGTTACTAGATTTAAAGGCTTTTCACGTAGAATTTTAAATAACTAATAATTATGATTAGTATTAATTTAAATTTTTTTCACATATGCAAAATATATTTCTACATAATCTCATGTAATATATTATGAAAAAATAATCGAAAAAATTATATTGTGTGTATTCGACGTGGAATTGTAATAGATTAATGTAGATATTTTTTGTTTTGAGCTGTTTAATTTATTCTTTTATTTTCTAAATCTCTGTATCAAATTGTGCCAGCTTTCCCTACTTAATTATAATTAGAAGAAATAAGAATAAATAAGATGAAATTGAATATAATTATACAAAATCATTAAAATAAATAAATATGATATATTCATTAAAAAAAAGATATAACAAGAATAAAAATGAATATGATGAATAAAACATTTATTATTATTGGGAGAGATGACGTATAATCATTGAAAATAATTTAAACATTTATACAGCCAGTTGACAAAAATATATTTAATTCATAAATTTTATGTGATTAATTATTTTATATTCAACTATTATTTTGGTTCAAATTTAAAGTTGTTATTAATCTCAAAGAAAACATTTATCTATTAGTTTGTTTTTTAAATTAATATAACAAAATAAAAATTTATATCAGTTAAAAAAGAGAAGAAAAAATAATTAATTTGTTTATTGTTTTTAAAGACCACATATATAATTGGAATAAAACTGAAAATGATGAAAAACAATTATCTTCATGATTTAAAAAATGAATGTATAATATTTTATCTTCATATCAATTCTATGTTTAAAAAAATAAAATTTCATTGGGTATATTAACTTATAAATATTTGATCAAATAATCTATTTTTGAAATATGATATATTCTATATATATTTAGAACAAAACCGTTAAAACCTCAAAATTTACATAAAATTATTAGATTAATACCATAGTATTTTTAATATATTATTAAACATTAATTTATAAAATTTATATCTTAATAAATATAATTAATTTTATATAATTTTTATTAACAAAAATACCTACGCGTAGCGTAGACGCAAAATATAGTCCTCTATAATACCTCTTGAGCTGAATATCCCTTTTCTTAATATTGTTGGAATAAAAAGTAAAGTATTAAAAAGGAAATACCTCAACAATATGTAAAACTAAAAAGAAGAGAAAAAAAAAACTACAATTATATATATATATAGTTTTTTTCTCCTCATGTAACCAAAATTCATAATTGCAGTGGTGTCCTTTTGATCTTCTTCTCAATCTCCATCCAAAACTCATGAGCAATTTTAATGCCATCATTGACTCTTTTTTTTCTTACCCGTACTGCTTCTCAATAAATTTTTAGGGGTGTTATTCAATCAGGTTTTTTAATAAAATTTAAATCCAACCATAATCCATTGATGTTATTCAACTAATGATTCTAAATGATGTTTTAAAATCCAATGTTATTAGATGTCTTCATTGTAAATCATGTTTAGAAGATTTTAAAGTTTAGTGTTATTCAATGAAGATTTCAAATATTTCACAAAAATCCAGTGTTATTCAAAACTAAATGACTTTTAATTTTTGTATATTAAGTCATTTCAAATCAATTCCAATAAAATTTTATGAATAAATTATTGGAATCAAAATCCAATGTATATTGCAGAGATTTTAGAATCTAAACAAATAAATCCATAAAACTGATATCAAATTTTAAATCTAGAAGATTATAAAACCTAAAAAATTATTTTAAATTCATGATTGAATAACACCCCCTAAAAATTATAGTTTCAACTTCATCATGAATACTAATCTCAAAAGTAATGGTCAGGGAGAAACTTGTAAATAATAAAAAAAATGGAGTTTGTGTTTGAAGACATTCGTAAGCTTTAGAAAAATAAGATCATGGAAATACAAGTTGGAGAGATATCTTATGAGTCACTTCTTCCTCTGGTAATTGATACTTTTTGATCATCAAATTTCAGAGGAACCTCTCTTCCGCTTCCATTGGTGTGAGGAAATTACATAGTCTGAATATCACGATTCTATGTTTGATTGATTATCAACAATTTTCAATCTATTGACAATCACAGAGGCCTAATCCTACTCTGACTCCTATTGATGGCATTATTGATGGCATGTTGATGAGGCTTCAAAATTGGAGAGGCACCTCTTTCCTATATATTTCCCACTTCGATTGGTGTCATGGTGTGAGTAAATCGCCTATTCTGATTATCATGATTCTCTTGTCAGATTATCACGATTATTTGATTATCAACAACTTCAATCGACAATCGGAAAGGCCTAATTCTACTCCTAGTTGACTCTTATTGATTGTCATGTTGATAAAGCTTCAAAATTGTAGAGGCACATTTCTCCCGCTTAACTTCAAAAAATTATGTACAATTATGATAAACTAGACATTTTGCAACCTTTTGAGCTGGATTTCCATTTTCGTAATATTGTTAAAATAAAAAGTATTAAATAGGAAATACCTAGACAATAAGTAAAAAGAGGTCAAATGGGATTTCCATTTTTTTTTGTCTCCTCAAGTAACCAAGATTGATAATATAAGTTTTCATGATACATCAGCTAACAAGTATTATATTTTTTTTCTTTACCAATACTCTTTTCGTAAAACGGATACGACAACGATGGTAAGAGAGACTAATAGGGAGACAGAGAGAGTAAATTAAAACACAAGTATACCAAAGAGTTGAGAGGAAATCTCTCATTATTGTAGATCCTGATTTCAGGAAGCAAGAGAGAGCGCTTCTCTCTAAGCAGAGGTATTGATGGCATTGTTCACAAAGTTATCCACATATTCTTTCCTGTAACAACAACACCCAAGTTTCCTGCTTGATTGTATCTTATTGATTGGATAACAGAACAAAACACAAAGGAATGATTTTGATGAGCTCTAGAGATAGAGACAAAAGCAGAGGGCAAAACAGGACATTGTGTACCTTGCAGGAAGATGGTCGTGTGGTCGATTGTATGGTGTCCACACCGGTTCACCCACGAAAAGCCGCATTGCCTGTTTAAACCAGAATAATTTTCAACTTTCTAAGCACGCAAAAACACACAACATAAGTGACTAAGAAGTAGCTAACATTGGACCTTGATATAGTTGTCTGAGTCCACGGTGAAGCGATGATAAATTCCAGCAGGCAAGACTATCATACCACCTTTCTTTACCCATACTCTAATCCAAGCTTCATTGCGATCCCTCACATCAAAGTAACCTTTTTTTTCCAAGGAATTAAAACATTTGAGGACTACATCGATTTTTTGTTTTCAAGTAAAGCAGCCAATAAAAAGTATACATACCACTTCCTGCAACACAGTAACGGATCTCTTCGTCAGTGTGCAGATGTTCTTCGAAAAAGCTCTTTACTTTCTCTTCATAGTTTTGGAGCTTCTCAGGGCAAACCTCACAAAAGTCCTGAATTCAAACACTTTTCTATCGTCAAACCAAGAATCGAGCTTAGAAGGCGGTATTAACTATTAAGAGAAGGGAATCATCAACTGGTAATCACAAAAAAAAAAAAAAAGACTTTCGATTCAACACTTGCAACAGAGAGGGAAAGGGTTATTTCTATGTTCTCTGGATAGTTAATACTAGCAGTAGCAGAATCCCAAGAGAGTGAAAACATGGTAAGAACCAGAAAGCTGTAAACCTTCTCCGTATTGTTCTATTCACAAAACCAAAGACACTTGATTAATAAGAAACTTCCAACTCTCAATCAAATGCTCAGTCAAACCCCTAGAACAATCTGATACGCTCATTATCACAATCTACCCCTAAATAATCCACCGAGAAATCCTTATAACCTCAGCCTTTAGCTAACTGCTCTCCAAGAAACTCACAACAGCTGTAATCTGTTAAGTTCAGTCCACGGCTAGATATAATAGACCTACAGATTAAGGCTTGAGAAACTGAAATTCTTCGAGTAAACTCACTGTGTATCAAGTCTAAGGGATAAGAAACAAAATATATAATAGAAAAGAATTATCAGATAAAGGGTCAAGACACAAACCATGTAGGAGTAACCACGAGATTCGCGGATCTTTTTCAACTCCTCATCGGTTTCATAGTTATCAGCATCAAGTCTCCAGCTCAGGACTCCAAGCTCTGCACCAGAAACAATACATGCGAAAATCAAAAGACAAATAACAGATAAGCAGAGAGACACAACAATGAAGACATACACAAACACACCTGCAAGTTTGTCCAAAGAGATAAACTCCTTAGGATTCTTGTGATGAGGAAGCCTCTGATCCTCTTCGCTATCATCCATGTACCAAGCCTGGATCACTTCTTCTCTTCCATCCTAAGCAAACACATACACACAAGAAGACGATTAGAGAAATAGTCGATTGCAAACTCCGAGATGAGGCAAATTCAATTCAATCTGACAATAACAGGAATTAAACTGCTTGAAATGATGAGCAAAAGAAGTAGAGAGTGATGATCGAGGATCGTCGAAAACGAATATCAACCAAAGCATAACTCACAAACCGGGAACCTTTACGGGATAACAATCAGCGAAGATTCATGCTCGGGAGTTTTACGATTAGCAAATAACCAAAATCAGAAGCAGAGAGGAAGAAGAAGATGAAAGATACCTTCACCGCTTCACCCATGGTTTGTTGTTCCCGTCGTCTTCCTCCTCTTTATGCCTGTGATTGATTCCCTTTTCGTCTTCAAAACCACGCGATTCATGAATTTATTCATTTTAAACCAACGAAAAAAAAAAACAAAAAGGGTTTGTTTTATTTGGGAAAAGACTGAACGACCCCTCATCCATCAAAGATTGCGTTTCAGACCATCGTTATTAGAGTTATTTGGAGCGGTCGTGGTTGTGTCGTATCTGTGTTATGTTTGAATTATCAATCATGCTTTTACTTTGTCTAAAGCAAACAAATTCATTTTCTCTTATACATCACACCAAGTTGTGTTATTTCCAAATGGTTTTAATGGAAACTCAAAGTTTGGTATCAATTCAAGTCTCTCGTTTTAAAATAAAGACAGCATTTACATATTACAAACCGGAAAAATCCTCCAGCCAATCTCTCATTTTTTTTTTCTTTCTCATTCTCTCTTTGTCTCTCTATATGAAACAAAGAACAGATAAAGAACAGATCTCCGATACTAACCTATTCAAAACTACAGACCAAAAAAAGATGGAAAAACACAAAAATAAATAAACAGACTGATCACAAGACTTCCCAAGCTCAATCTTAAGCCATGTTTCCTCCACACAATGAACTACAACATTCATTGTCTGCTTTTATTTCCTTTTTGTTCATGGCAATTTGTTTTAAAAGAACAGTAACTGTTCTTCTTCTTCATGTATCATCATCATCTCCAGTCTTTTTTGGCATCTTATTAAATATCTAGAAAAACAAGCGATGAGAGTTTTGACGGGAAATCATTGGAGTCATTTAATTAACAAATGCTTTTCTAGGTTTGCCATATGATTGATTAGCTTCTTACCTTCACTGTTTAGATCACTGTTCAGATCAACTGAGAGATTAGGACTTTTTGTCTGATTTTCAGGTGACTCACAGAACGTGTGGGGCTCTCCTGTGCAGCCAAGGTTTTGTGAAAATGCAGCAGCGTTCATCCGTGGCTGACGATTCAGATACATCTCCAAGCTAGACGATGCAACTCCTGGAGCCTTCTTGGTCTTGGAGAATCTTCTGTTCAGAAAGAAAAGTGTATTTTTAGTATTCACAGATTTGGAAATAGGCCTTAAGTATTTATGCGACATAATTGCAACGACGATTGTTTCTTCAAAGCACCTATCTTTCCGCTTTTCAAGATATCTTTGCAACGACACTTTTCTGTTCGCCTGACTCTCCACATCTTCAGAAAACCCAACAAAAAACACAAGAACGATGGTCAACATCAACAGAATTGCCAGGTCTTATATCAAGTAGAACAAACCAATCAAGTTTTTCTGCCTAAAGTAAACACAATTAGCAAAGCATGTACAGGTGAAAGCAGCTGGACCAAATTGTGCTCTTCAGGTGTTTTAAGAATCATTATAATAACAGGTTCCTATATCTTTGAGGTAATATGAGCACTTTTTGTACCAGAATCACGAGAAGCATTTGCCTTTTCAAGGCCGTAATGGGGATGTTCCACCATCTTCTCTGCAAAACGAAATCACAATTTCATTTTCGAACTCGATTCTAGAAACAGTAAGTGAGATTTTAAACAAGATGAGCATGTGACACAAAAAGGTGCAAGATGTACACCATCTGTCAAAAAAAGCTGGAGATGCATCACTTTTCCAGGTTTATCATACACTTAGAAACAAAATCATTTCAAGTTTGACTCATCATCTATCTATCAACTGAAAAGCAAACCAGATACTTTACCTTTACTCATGGGCCTGGAAATCATTCTACTAGAAGCAAAAATGCCATTTTCAGGCAAATCCATCGGGTTGGCTGCTAAGTGCATGATTGACCGCGCCTGCAACAATATATACAGGATGCATATAATAAAAAAACACGACATCAAGGGTTTTCTTTTTTCAGGCAGGACAGAATAATGTTACCTTTTCAGGTGGTACTCCATCATACACATTCACTTTCCCACTATAGAAAATCGTCATTTGCCCAACCATCGCACTTGTTTCTGCCGGGCTTCTGCTGCAATATTACAGACAAGTGTGTTCATAACAACACCATCTATTAAGCTTCCATACATAGACTACCCTAAAAACTCGCATTAGTCAAAGAAAATCATTGGTATTTTAGTTGAGTAAGCAATGGTAAGCTTCCATACATGGACCACCCTAAAAAATCTCAGTAGTAAAAGGAAATATTGACCAATGCAGTAGTAAGTAACTGGTTCTTTAGTTGAGTAGCAATGATCAAATCATGTCATACTAATCCTAATTGACAGTCATTTCACCAGAAAAAGATCTGAAAACACCTACTACAAATACAGATAAAGCCTCTATGATTACATGAACTCGTGGAAATGATGTTCACAAACCTAAACAATGTTTCAACAATCCTCCATTAAAGCCTCTATGATTACATGAACTCGTGGAAATGATGTTCACAAACCTAAACAATGTTTCAACAATCCTCCATTAAAGCCTCTATGATTACATGAACTCGTGGAAATGATGTTAATTAACCTAAATAATGTTTGAACAATCCTCCATTAAAGCCTTGATCTACATAGTTTTAGTTTGTGGTATCAAACCAAACATTTGCTAAGATCAAACTTGGCTCTTCTCTTGGCTTAAACAACATTTCAAGCTCAGAGAAGGAGAAAGGTAATCACATAGACTCAAAAAAGTATATATCTATAGACAAAAATGTAAACCTGGGAGAGACTGTCTTGTAGCTCTCTTTCTCAGCTACAAAATGACCAGAACCACCACCGGAAAACTCAGCTGATCTTGGAGAATCTCTCCTGTGGCATGAGCCGTCATCTTCCTGAAAAGGAATCCGGCCACAAGCTCCAAGCTCGTTGTTGCTTGGCTCAATCGGCGGCGTTGTTATCACCTATGAAGCAACCAATTTTTCCCAATAATTCAAGCACTAAACAAAGGAAACGATTCTCTACTTCTTTAAGCGAAATCGGAACTAAAGAACTATGCGAAAAAAAACGGAAATTGAGCTCACACGAGGCGGAATCGGAGGCTGAGAAACGAGGATCTTGCGGAGGATTCCGGCGCCGGAATCGTCGCCGGGCTCAAAGAGAGCTTTGAGAGAGAGAACTTGCTGGATCGCCTGAGATTTGTTCCAAGAAGGCCTGCGCATTCCTGAATACGACACGTGTCAGCCGCCATTCTCGGCTCTCGAAAAAGCAAGCACAGGAAAAATTTTCAAAAAAAAAAAAAAAATTGAGCACGAAGCTCCTTCAAAGCAAAATCCGAGAGAGGAAGATCCGAATCGGAGAAGGAAATTAGGAAACGGAAAAGAAGGAGGAAAGTAGATGAAGAAGAGAGAAACCTTTCTCCTTGAGAAATTTCCGGCAATCTTCGCGAGTGAGCTGAGAAATGTCCTCTTCAGTGAGAAGCTTAAGAGGCTTCTCAAGTATAGACTTGGCCGAAGACACATTAACATCCATCTCCTTCTTTAGATTCCGGTCAAAATCCAAGTCTCACCGGAGCTCCGGCGGAAGAGCAGTGGCGTTTTTAGTAATTATTTGAGGGTTTGGGGGTAAAAAAATTAGGGGAGCGAGAGAGAGAGAAGAGGAAGGAGAAAAGAAAAAGAAAAGAAAAAGAAAAGAGTGAAGAAGTCTTCAATAGTGTGTATAGTCTAAGGGCTTCTTCAATTTGGGGGAATGGTTTTTGGAGCAGGGAAGCTCCCTAGACTGCCACGTCAGATTCGTGTCTTTGTGTATATTATAAGCTAATCATGGCTTTGCTAAGTATCCTTCTATAATCCAATTATTTTATTCTTTTTTCTACAACTATATGATTCTGCTGAATCCTGATTAGATTAGTTTGTGCGTCAAACAGTTGAATAAAATTAAAATAATGGTATGATTAAAAAAAATGAGAAATGACATAAGACCAGCAAAAAAACTATTATTTTTGCTTCTGTTGTATTACAAGAAGAGATAGAGAAATAGTGTTAGATATTTTTACATAGCAAAAATAAAAAGAAGTGTTATATCAAAGGGAAGTCAATTTCTTTGGGTTTGGTTGTGGAAACGTCTTCATCCAATAGTTTAGGTTTAGTGTTTATGGCTCTTTTAAATAAAATAAAAAAAAATCGTTCTTCTATTTTTTCTTACGTTGAATCTAATTTGGGTAATTCTAATTGTATTTGTTTGTTTTTTGGTTTGTACAAACTCTATTCTACTGTCTGATCAGATTTTGTGTCGGACTAATATAGCTGGAATATATGATCTTTGTTTCCCAAGTTTAAGAGCTAATTTAGTTGGACTATGTAGATTTCTCTTCCAAGATTTTGGACTAATTTAGTCAAAGATCATTGTTTTGTCAAAGAGCAATTAGTCAAAGAGCTAATTGAGCTTTGTTTTCTATCTTATATTTCAACTTGGCATTTTGATAAATTTTAGATTAAAAAAAAAAATTAAAACTTATGGAGCATATGATTACAGTACTATGATCTATGATGTAATTAGAGCCGTGCCTGAGATTTCTCTAACTACAAGCGAGAAAAAAAAAATTGGCCCCTTAAACTCTTCTTAATATAGTTTAGCCCATAAATAATTGGTAAAAAGAAGAAAAAATGACAGATATGTACTTGGGAAGAATCAAACCCAAGAAACCTCTAACCAAACATGATTTCAACTATTCATAAACCATTTGGACGAACTCAAATTTTGGAAAATTGGCCCCAAAAAAGTATTTAACTCTTTCAGCCCTGAAGCACATGCTTCATTAACCTGTGCTCAGGCACGACTCTAGATGTAGACGACCCAAAGTATTAGTTCAAAAAAAAACAAGTATCCAGTCATGGTCGGTAATTTTCAAATCAGGTTTAGTTTGTGCAGCTATTTCGTTTTAAAAAGAAATCAATTATGTAACGACCTTGCTATGTTTAAAAATGGGATTTTTTGTCGTAATGTCATTTATTTAAATAATTCATTATGTGCAAGTAATCTCCATTGGAAAGAAAAATTATTTGCTCTTTTATTTGTAGAGTACCTTTGTCAAAAAAGGGTAGAAATATCTTTTTGCTCTTCCAGTTCGACTCGCCTGCTTGGTTCGGCATACAAAATCATAGGCAAAGTTTTCGGAAAGTGTTCTTTGGCAGAGGCTGAATGCTTCGAGACAAAGAGTTCCTAGAAGAGCATCTCACATCGCAAGACTTACACATGTCAGTCTTAACTGTCTACGAAGAGATTAATCTGTAAAATATAATCATCTATTAAATATATCAATCTATTAGTCAATAATCAACTTTACATCATTTAGATAAATGTAAATGAAATGTCTCAGTACATATAAAAATGAGGACTAGTCATTTTCCGAAGCCCATACTAAATCAATTGAAAACTACAAGAGAGTTAATAATAAAAATTGACAAGACGGAGGAGGAGAAATAGATTTTCACATGCCAAAAGACTCTGAGTCTGACCAAGATGGACTCCCCCATTAACCTTCGTGGTCTGCGTGACATCCCCTTCTCATTATCTTTTTCTTAACATATAAAATGTAAATTATTTTCTGTTTATAAAGAATCAGGTCCGAATCAGATTTATATTTTCTGTCTAATTAAAGTGACAAGATATGCATTATATTAATGCAAGCAAAGATTTAAAGCGACAGTTAACAATTATTTTCCTAAGCAGCGGCTCTTGGTTTGTGACAAGCCTCGGAGTGGTGGCTCTCGTATCTCTGGCAGGTGCAGCTTTATTGACGGTGTTTTTCAGTGGTGGCTCAAGACGGGTGGCTTGGCGGTTGCCCCGCAGGCTTGTCTCAGTTTTTGGCTTCTCCGTCGTCTTCAACATCGTGTAGCCTGAGTTTCTCTGAAGGTGCGTGTGTCCGATAATTTATCATAACTTGCGGTTGTATAGTTTTTGGCTTGTGGTGGCTCTGGATGTGATCCGGTGTAAATAGTGAGATATTATTGGACGTGATTGTTGAGGTGTCGGTTTGTTGTTGCGGCTAGTTTGTAGCTGTGGGAGCTGGTTCTCGAGGGGATTCTTTTTCTTGGGAATGGTAATCTGAGGTGACTCTCTGATTGCCCGTACGGACTCCCTTGTCAACAGTTGCATATTAGTCTGTTACGGATCCCAGAAATCCCGTTAGTTTTCGGAGAAGTTGTATGCGTCTCTCTCTTGAGGTTTGAGGGCTGGTTTCGGGAAGATGCTCGTGGCAACGAAGATGAGAACTCTAGTTCTTCGGAGCTGCGGCAAAAATGAGGCGGTCTGTGTTTCGGTGTGCGATTGCTGCTTTCCCTTCTGGTTTTGTTTCGATTTTATTTTTAATCATGCGAATCATTTTCTTATCTTTTCGTTGTTGTTTGTTGCATTTGATCGGATTTGTTAGTAGTTTTTATTTTTGGTCTTTCGTCTTTCTTTATAATCTCTGTAACTTCTATAAAAAATTTGAAAATTGGTAATATAATCTTAACATATTTACCCAAAAAAAAAATATTTTTATAGAGAAAAATATATCCAAACATTCTATTATTCATATGGTCATGTCCCGAATATGTTTAAATAAGCGAACACATTGTTATAGTACTACATTTTATGAGTCATGTGATATTGCAATTTCTTTTCTGTTTTTACCAGGAAGTTTCTAATATTTAATTCTAAGATGTAAATTTAGTTGTTTTCTTTGGGCATCTCCAACCCATCTCTATTTTAAAGGTGAAAATAGAGATTATGCTCCAATCCACCTCTATTTTTACCTCTAAAATAGAGATTGCTATTTTTTCCTCCAAATATAGAGGGATTCTATTTTTTCCCTCTATAATAGAGGTGAATTTTTTTATTTGTAAAGTAGTCCTTTAACTTTTAAATCTTTCTATTTATGCAAAAAATATAATTTTTTATGAATATAAATGTAATAATTTTGGTTATAGTTAAAAAAAACATATGGTATTGCTAAATATAAAAATTCTCATTGAAATTAAACTACAAAAAAATAATTACAACTTAAAAATACTTAAAAATAAACGAAAAATAACAGCAATTTTTTTAATTTATGAATTTTAACTTTTAGTATTATTATAATATGTTGAAACTTTCATAAAAAGTAATATAAGTGGGATTAATTTAAAAATTTTAGTAGTCAAATATTACTATCACTATAATTTATGAAAAATTTTATAAACAATAAAATAAAAGATTAATTAATAAATTTTATTTATCAAAGTTAGTAGTATTATAATTTATGTAAGTTTTTATTAAAAAAAATAAGTAAGGTCAATTCATAAATTTTATTAATAAAAGTTGTTAAGAACAAATAGAATACAGTAAAACCTCTATAAATTAATAATGTTGGGATAATGATATTTTATTAATTTATCGTGATATTAATTTATCTATAAATTAATAATTATTAATTTATAGAGAAAATTTACTTTTCGCCTATAATTTTTTAAAAATTTCTTTGGAATAATGTTATATTTTAAAATTTTAACAAATCTCGTAATGTAAATTATGATTAACAATCATAACTATCGCAATAAAATAGTTTTTAATACCATATAGGATTGTCCATGTACAAATATACATATTCATAAGTTTAAAATTTATAAAAGATCATATCTACTATCTGTATTATTGATGATAAAATTGAAGATAACAATACAATACATTTAAAAATATTTACAGGTAAGAAAATCAATTATCACATCATAAAATCATCATAAATTCTGAATGTATATCATAAAACACCAAGAAAAGCTACTGATATAATAATTCGGGAGATAAAATCCAATGAGAATCCAACTTTAAGTAAAAGCAAAATATTATTTATATTTTAGAATATTATATTTACATATATTTGCATGAATATATATAATTATTAATTTCTGTTTTTATTGGGACCATATATTTACATAGGAGTTTCAAAAAAAATTATTATCTTATTATCTTATCGAATTTGATGGATTTTTACATTGGCTCGACTTGGGACCAGTAAAATTTATTAATTTATAGTAATTATTAATTTATTGAGTATTAATTTATAGAGGTTATACTGTATATTGAGAATACTCTTTTTTAGAGGGAAAAATAGAGGTACTATTGGAGACAAATGCACCTCTATTTTACAGTTTCTCTATTATAGAGGAAAAGATAGAGGCAACCATTGGAGATGGTCTTAGACATCAAAAGTCGATTTCCTGTCTTTGCATGAAGTTAAATCCCTTTTAAAGATCTTCTAATACACCAGCATGTGATCTTTCAATTTGCAATTAATAGCTCCCCTATACTATTTTATTTTGAACAAAACCATTCTTTTTACGTTTGTCCATAAATATACATAAACAACAAAATGACAAAAATAAATTGTTGTCGATTTTAAATTCTCAACATGAAAAATGAGATTTAGAATTATGATGAGTAGTGGAAGAAACAAGTTGAGCAAGAGAAGAAAAGAAGGGGGAAAAAAAAACAGAGTGGAAATAGGAGGAGTCGTTATCAAGACAGACATGAGCAAAGCCTATGACCGAGTAGAATGGAGCTTCCTTGAAACCCTTATGATTAAACTAGGATTTTCAGAAAGATGGGTCAGACTCCTCATGTTCTGTATCTCCTCGGTCTCATATCAGATCCTTATAAATGGAGAACCGAAA